CGCCCGTTCCTGAGTCACCCTGCCAATCAGCATCCACCAAGTCACCTAAGCAACCCTTCTTAAGCTGAAGCTTGCAGGCTCAAGCTGCTGCTCTCTTCCTCTCTTTTTCTTCCCCTTCGGAAAGCCCCCCAATAAAATCTCTTGGTTGAATTTCCGTCTGGAGTGAGTCACTCGCCTTTCATTACCATCACTAGTGACAAGTCATGTTGAAATTACATACCCCTCGAGACGATACAACGAGAGGGGCACTTCACTTCTACATTATCCCCTCTTCCCCCAATACACAAGCTCATTTTAATTATGAGGTCTCATCAGACCAGCCCCAAATGAGAGACTTTCTACAAATACCTGACTAATACTCTTCAAAAAATGCCACAGGCATGAAAAACAAAGAGTGAAAAACTGTCAGAGCCAACAGATGCCCAAGGGGACATGAAAACCAAAGATAATGTATTATCCTGAACTGGATTCTGGAACTGAACAAAAGCATTAGTGGAAAAACTGATGAAATTCCCATTAAAAATTTAATGTACCAATACAAATTTTTTACTTTTGACAAATGTACCAAAGTGAGAGGAAACTAGGTGAAAGGTATATAAACGCTTTTTGTCCAGTCCTCATAACTTTCCTGTGAATTTAAAATAAACAGTTTTTTTCTGAAAATTAGTCTGAATTAAAGGAAGAGTAGATTCCTAATTCCGGATGGCATTTTTGAATAGTGAACCAACACCAGCAATGGCTCACTTCCAAGTGTTCTTGTTGTGTGAGAAAAATAAAACATTCTGGAAAGCAAATGTCAGCTAAGTAGTCTGGGGCCAAATAAATATGAACTGATAAAACGTGTTTATTGTTTGATGCAATTAGCTCTTAAAACGCACAACTGAGAACAATAGTCTGTAATCCTAGGGGCTCAGGAGGCTGAGACAGGGAGTTCAAAGCCAGCCTCAGCAATAGTGAGGCATTCAACAACTCAGTGAGACCCTGTCTCTAAATAGAATATAAAATAGGGCTGGGATGTGGCTCAGTAATCGAGTACCCCTGAGTTCAATTCCCAGTACCAAAAAAAAAAAAAAAAAAAAAGCACTAAGTACTTTACAGCAATTGGATCCAGTTCCTGACCCTCAGTGCTGGCCGGAGGTATCATTTCAGTAGACCTCACAAACCCAACCCCCAATCCACTCCCAATCCCTAGTTCACTGAAGGGAATGACAGGAAGTGAGGAAGAAGTTGTCTCTTTTGGAAACTGCTCAAAGCAAACAATTAATGATGCTGTCAATATGTAGTTGTGACACTAGATCAAGACTTACAAAAACAGCAGCTTTCTTTTAAATTTCAATTCTTCATCTTCAATTCTTCCTTTCCAACATTAATTTTTCAACTAGAGTGAATTAGTAACTATAATGGAAAACAAACCTCATTCAATAACAACAAAACTACAGAATACCCATAAATAAAGTAATAAAAGTGTGAGATATATATATGAATAAAACTATAAAACTTTATAGGACATGAAAGAAGATTTAAATAAATGAAAAAACCATCATAATGCTTCCAGATATAAAGATACTGCATTGTAAAGATGTCAGTTCTTCTTAAATTAATCTGTAAGTTAAATGTATTGCAAATCAAATTCCTATATAAAAACTTAAATCTCATAAACTATATAAAAATTAACTCAAAATGGATCATATGTCTTAATGTGAAATAAAACTACAACACATTTACAAGATAACAGAAGAGGAACTCTTCATGTTTCAAAGAGTTCCTGGATTCATAAGCACAATCCATCAAAGAGAAAATTAATAAATTAGACTTCACCAAAATTTAAAACTTTGTTGTAGGAAAGACATCGTTAAGAGAATAAAAAGAATCTATGATCAGGAAAAAATATTTGCAAATCATATAGCCAACAAAAAGGACTCAATACCAATTAATGGAGCCCAGTACAAAATGAAAATACAGGACCCCTTGTTGAAAAATGATTAAGAATTCTGAAACTGCAACAGCTGAAAATTAAATGAAGCATGGGGTCATTTAAAAAGTAGGACCCATGTGACTGCTTAGATCATGCTCCCATGAAGATATCCATGCTAACAGAGGACTTGTGTCCAGAATAGAACCCTCAAAACCCAATGGTAGGAAAACAAGCAATGCCTTTTATAAATAGGTGAATGATTTCAACAGAAACTTCAACATAGAGAATATAAGGACAAGAAATAAGCACATGCAAAAATGTTTAATGCCATGGAGATGGAGGAGCTGAAATTCCCATATGCTTTTGGTAGGAATTCAAAATGGTATAGCCATTCTGGCAATGTTTGGCAGCTCTTACAAAGCTGATCCTACATGTATCCTTCAACCCAGCAATTCCCACTCCTTGGTATTTACTGAAGAAAAATTAAAACTTATGTTCACACAAAAGAGTTGCATGTGAATGTTTAGGGCAGCTCTAGCCCCAAACTGCAAACAATCCAAATGCCCTTTAACAGGGAAGAGGTGAGCTGTGGTAGGTTTACACAATAGAACACTAGTCAACAATAAAAAGGAACACATTACTGATATAATCAAAAACTTGAATAAAATCACAAGGGCATTATACTGAGTGAAAAAGTCTCAAAATAGTATTTATGGTATGTATCCATTTTTATATATCACTCTCAAGAAGACAAAACTATAGTGACAGAGAATAGACAGGTTAGGGTTGAGAAAGGTGTGACAATAAAGAGGTGGTAGCACAAGAGAGTGTTTTTTCTTTGCTTGTTTGATGAGGGATGATGAGACTGTTCTGTGTCCTGATTTGTGGTGGTACTTACACAAATCTACACATGTGCTCAAACTCATAGAACTGTGCATTTCCCCCGCCTCCCAATACTAACATTTAGTCAGAAGAAAAAAAAATGTGTAAGAACAAGAACAACAACCAAAAAACCACTTAAACAAAGGAATTTTAAAAAATTCTGTGTTCAGAGACCTGTTCTACCAGATTAAAAACATTCTTTAAGACTCTACTAACTGGAGCATGGCTTTAGTACAAACAGTTCTGTAGGCAGACAAAAAAAATCATTGGAAGAACTGGAAGCATGTATACATGCAAGTTGATGTGATAAAGTTAATATTTTAGATCAAATAGAAAAAGATGGACTATAGTCAGCCCTCCATATCCCTCCATTCAACTAATCACAAATGGAAAATATTTGTTAATGAATTATATCTGTAACAAACATATAGAGACATTTTTTTCAACATTATTCCTGATACAATACAGAACAACTATTTATATACCATTTGTGTTGTATTAGGTATTATAAGTAATATGGAGATGATTTAAGGTATACAGTGAGATGTTCAAACGTTATATTCAAACTCTACAACATTTTATATAAGAAACTTGATAATCCACCAATTTTGATATCCAGTGGGGGTCCCGAATCCAAACCCCCTTAGATACCAAGCCACAACCACATTTAATAAATAACTGGGAACTAATTTATCTGTCTTTTAAAACTTTGATTTATCATATTTATAAAAATAAATTTCAATTGCATTAAAAATCATATAAAACAAGATTGCAAAAGTACTTTTCAGGAGTGTGTGTGTACATGGGTATATACAAGAATGTTTGCAGAAGCATTGTTTGTAATAGTAAAGAGAATAGTGTCATGGAGCATGCCCATAATTCTAGCAACTCAGGAGGCAGAGGCAGGAGAATCACAAGTTCAAGTCCAACCTCAACAACTTAGCAAGATCCTCAGCAACTCCACAAGACCCTGTCTCAAAAATAAAAAGTACTGGTTATGTAGCTCAGTGATAAAGCACCCCTGATTTCAATCCCTAGTGTCCACAAAAACAACTGGGGGAGGGGTAGGGAGGGAGAGAGTGAGAAGAGGAGAGAGAGAAAGGTATGACCATCAGAGGTTAAATAATATTCATAGTATTGAACAGGTACATCAAATATATGCTGTGTCATGGAAATATTTTTAAACATAGAAAAAATGTACAGAATAATTTTTTATTATGCAGATAGAATTAGAGCAAATTATATTCCATCCTTGTATAATTATGTTAAAATGAACCCTAATATTATGTATAACTAAAATGAGCTAATAAAAATATGTGTATAAAAATTTTTTGTATGTGCCTATTAAAACTGCATACAATTTGATCTGAAGGGCTAGGCTCAGACTGCTAACAGTGGAATGAAGGAGAAAGGAAAGAGAACATTCTCTTTATATCTCCATTGACTTACATACTTAAGTTTATCAATGTATAGAGTTATATATTATTTTTTAATAAAGGGTCCAACTAATAAACTTCACTACCACATAAACAGCACTAGGAAAGAGAGCTGAAAAAGAAGTCTTGGGAAATGGGAGAAGGGCTCTCTCAAGTCTATGAGTCTCCTAAGGGAAAGGACATTTAGAGCTAGGTCATGCCAGATCCTTCTTGGCTAGTAGGGCTTTTTTTCAGGCCAGAGCTGTTCCTTTGCCATCCAAGGCCCCAGTTCCCTAGTATGAAATAGTTGTCCAGGAATAAGGGCACTCTTCTAACTAAGCGCTAGGGTTAGTGTGTATTTACTGATTTGTATTTTGATAAGAAAAAGCAAAGCAAAAAAAAAAAAAAAGAAAGAAATTGAAAAGAAAGGCAGTGATAAAGTATGAAAAGAAAGTTTCTTGTGATTTTATATATGATGACTTGCCAAGTTAGAATCAGTGTTACTGAGGTTTAGCGAGTAAATAGGTAAGACTGGGTCACTGAGATCACTCAATAACCATTTTCCATGGGATTTATAAAAGTAAGCTGATAAAAAATCAGTAGTAACACAGAAAAACAGACAGATGATAGACAGGTACATGAGAGAGAGAGAATATGTTTTTATTTGCAAAAATCCCCTATATGCAACTTTGCATTTGATTTGTAAAGCATGACAAGTATTATTATCCTGACCTTACATACATGACAATAGAAGCTTAGAGAGTCAAGATTTGACCAGAGTTCCATACCTGGTCTCATGTTTATCCAGCCATCTCGCCTCAAGGAGGGACTCCTCATAGAACACAAGAGAAAACTTTGCAGCTTCTTCAGAAATATAAAAAGAAAGGACCATCTCATCGAAGCAATGGAAAGAAAGACATGGTTATAAAAATAATCATTTAGTGATTATATGACTATATCCCATATATTTATACCTACACATAAATTCCTCTTGTTGTAGTTTACTGATTATTAAATAATAAGAATTAAAAATTACTTCAACAATGCTGTCACGGTAAGTCAAATTCTGCTTTGAATTTTAATTGTAAAACATATTGCTATCAGAATCAAAAAACAAAACAAAACAAAACATTGCTATAAGGAAGAAATCCCTTTAAGCTATTCTCCTGACTTTAAAAGTTCTTTAATATTGCTTGAGCAAATTGGACTTATATTTGCATGTCACAGTGAGTTAATTATCAAAAGGTTGCTGGGTAAAATTATCTTCTTATGACAAACATAGTTTACCATTTTAGGTCAGCTAACATAGCTCTTTAAAAATTTATTCTTTTTAGTTATACATGACAGGGAAATGTATTTTGGCAAATTATACATACATAGAGTATAACTTATTCTATTTAGAATCCCATTCTTGTAGTTGTACATAATGTGGAGTTACCCTGCTGGTGTATTCAAATACAAGGCTAGGAAAGTTATGTTTGATTAATTCTACTGTCTTTCCTATTCCCCTCCTCCCTCCCTTGCCTTATTCCCCTTTGTCTAATCCAATGGATTTCTACTCTTTGCCTCCCCTTCCTCCCTTATTTTGGGTTAGCATCCACATATAAGAGAGAATATTCAGCTTTTGATATTTTGGGGTTGGCTTATTTCACTTAGCCTGATATTCTATAGTTCCATCCATTTACCAGCAAATGCCAATATTTCATTCTTCTTTATGGCTGCTTAATATTCTATTGTGTATGTATACCACATTTTCTTTATCTATTCATCTGTTGAAGGATACCTATGTTGGTTCCATAGCTTAGCTATTATGAATTGAGCTGCTATGAATATTGATATGCCTATATCACTGTAGTATTCTGCTTTTAAGTCCTTTGTGTATAGACCAGGGAGCAGGATAAATGGTAGTTCCATTCTAAGTTTTTTGAGAAGTCTCTATACTGCTTTCCATAGTGGTTGCACTGATTTGCAGTACCACCAACAATGTGAGAATATTTCTGCCCACATCCTCGCCAACATTTATTGTTATATGTGTTCTTTATAATTGCCATTCTGACTGGAGGCTAACACAGCTTTTTACAAATAATAACAAGAACAACAATATTTAAAAGTGTTCACATTTAACATGCATACTTTTTTCATAAAAAACATTTATAGCTTCAAGATTAAAAGTCAACAGTTTTTGGAACTATTAAAACACATTTTTCAATATTGCAGGGAGTTGATTTGCTTGTCTTAACAAAGAGACATGGAGATATTAAACATCAGGTGAGAATGCAGAGTATTTGTTGATATCCCTTAAATTTTATGTAAAATGTGCTAATCTGTTTCTGTCTTCCTGCAAGATGTGAGGGCTAGCTGAGGACATCTGATCTTCTCAAACGTGCCTGAAGACATCTTTGATATCTTTTCAAAGCACCTCAATCAACAGGCTCTTATTTCTTCAAGACTTCTTTTGAACTGCCAAATGGAGACCTTTATTTCCATCATCAATGATTATTTTTTGCTAGGGATGAATTAGAGATGATGAGGCTTAAAATGTTCTGATTTCATAACAGCTAGCACACTTAGTGCACTGTGCCAAGTGTTTTATCTCCATTGTGTCCTTCAGTGGTCACACTGTTACAGTGGAGGAAGTGACAGAGGTTGTCAAAAGTTAAGTAATGTGGTCAAAGCTACAGGATAATAAATTTCAACAGTAAAACTAGAACCTTTAGGATCCATGTGAATCCAGAGCGCGACTCTTCCTCAGAAAACATGAAAATGAACACCTAAGTGTGGAATCTAATTTTTGAAAAGTAGTAATTCACATATTTAACTTTGTGTTTTCTTCATCAGCATTCTAAGAAATATTTATTGTGTCCATCATACTCTAGGAAATAATCTCACTGCTCATCAAAAATGGTAGCAAACCAGATCTCTTAGACTTTGGTTCTAGAAAGAAGGGCAGACAATAAATTTACAGACAAGAATACAGACAAATAAAAGATATATTGGCAAGGGCTCTGTAGAGCACTAAGGAGGGTGAGGAGGAATTCTAGTTATTTGACTTGCTTGTTCTCTTTATTTATTTATTTATATATAACAGCAGAATGCATTACAATTCTTATTACATATATAGAGCTCAATTTCTCATATCTCTGGTTGTATACATAGTATACTCACACCAATTTGTGTCTTCATACCTGTACTTTGGATAATAATGATAATCACATTCCACCATCATTAATTACCCTATGCCCCTCCCTTTCCCTCTCACTCCTCTGCCCTATGTAGAGTTCATCTATTCTTCCCATGCTCCCTCTCCCTACCCCACTATGAACCAGCCTCCTTATTATCAAGGAAAACATTCGGCATTTGTTTTTTTGAGATTGGCTAACTTCACTTAGCATTATCTTCTCTAACTCCATCCATTTACCTGCAAATGCCATGATTTTATTCTCTTTTATTGCTGAGTAATATTCCATTGTGTATATATGCCACATTTTTTTTTTATCCATTCATCTATTGAGGAGCATCTAGGTTGGTTCCACATTTTAGCTATTGTGAATTGTGCTGCTATAAACATTGATGTGTTCTCATTTCTCTTCTGGGTTGTGAGCTTTCTGAAAATAGGAATACCTATTTTTGTATTACCTGTTTTGTCTTAAATGATTTTCACATAAGAGGATCAACATATCAGTGACACACTATGTAAAGAGCAAAGTATACTTCTCATTTGAATATAAATCATGGTCTTTGGAAATTACAGGCATTTGTAGCTTTAGGTTATTTTACCTCAATTTAAAGATGGGATGCAGGATTTTCCTTTTTTATTCTGTAGGACGAAAGAGTGCAGACCATCTTCATTGTAGTCAGAATGTTTGGAAAACCCTGGAGTACTCTACATGGGAAGCTGTCCCTACAGAGGAAAATTTTTTTTAGTATAATTTGGTGAATATATTTGTGTTTTTAAAATCTGAACTTCTGTCTTGTTTTTCAAAACTATTTCAAAAGACAAATCTCTAGCTGGATTCAGTCATTCAATGAGCCACAAGTGTATCATTTGTTAAATAATTGATGCTTTGGAGTAAATGGCACCTTTGAAGGGAGCATTTATCTTCCAAAGGACTCTTTGAAGTTCTTTCCTAGAAATCATCAGACACTGAAAAATATAGTTGCACATTACTCAATATGTGGGCCTCCAAAGTTACATTTTTTTTTATTGTACTTATTTTTAGGGATCCAGACCATGGATCAGGCACTGAGGCAGGATGGAGACACAATGGTGAGCTAAACTGGAACTACCTTTGACTTCATGGAGTTTACCATGAATTCTCAGTTCTCTGAATTCTACCCTGTGTTATGTGAATCATAATTCTTAGGGGCTTGATTCTCAATCTTTAGTGCATATCAAAATCACAGATTGCTAGGTCTTATGCCTGGAGTTTCTGATTCAGTAGGTTGAGGATGGGACTGAATAATTTGCACTCCACCCCCCCTCCCCCCCGCCCTGCCCACCGTTTCTTCTCTTTTCTTTTTTTGGCAGTACTGAATTAAAGAAGGGCCTCATGCATGCAAGGCAAGAGCTGTACCACTGAGCCATATCCCCAGCAATAATTTGCATTTCTAACAAATTCACAGGTGATGCTGATGCTGGTGGTCTGGGGACCACACTTGGAGAATTGCTGGACGAGGACACAAAACTCAAGTGCCTGCAGGTGATTCTGATGTTCGTCTAGGGCTGAAGGCCACTGAAGCACCATGTGCCAATCACTGTGCTGGTTACAGGTGAAGCAGAAAATTACAAAATAAGCACAACTCCAGAGCCTGCTTCCAAGGAAGTTACATTGAGATAGTTCAGTGGAGACCAGAAAGCTGCGGAGTTTTAGAAAGTGAGCAGTCTTTGGACGCGTTGTAGGAAAAAAGGAAGTTACCAGGGAAGATTAACATGGAGTTTCTTTCTTTCTAATACAGTGTGGGCAACAAACTCAAGTACTAGCAGTATCTGTGATCTTGTCACTAAATTAGGGTTCTCCAGAGAAAAAGAATCAATAAGACATCAGAGAGAGAGAGAGAGAGAGAGAGAGAGAGAGAGAGAGAGAGAGTTGGCTGGGTTTTATAATCTTTATCCATGGACAAAGTCTTTTTGATGGCAAACTTTTGCTTATAGGTTCTGAGTAACTCAACCAACATCACAGTATTCAATTGAAGACAGTTCCGTGAAGTCTAATTCTCTTATTTCACCTAACTTAATTTATTTTTCTAAGTGCCAACTTATGTCAATTACTTTAGTAAGACCTTAGTGGAGAGGAGCTATCTAAACATGCAGTTACCCCATAATGAATCTGAGTCATTCAAAAAATACAGGTAGCTCTGCCATTCCTGTCCTTCTCCTAACTGCACAAGGCACTTTTTGTGAAGCACTTGCAAGCGTTATTCAGCTTTTCGTTACTGTAACACATATTTGAGATAATCACCTGATTATGAGAAAAGGTTTGCTTTGGCTCAGTTTTGCACATTTCAGCCCCATGATCTGTTCTCCTTATCATTTTGGGGCCTGTGGTGAGGCCGCACGTCAAGCACATTCGCTGCATGACAGGGGAGTGAAGGAAGAAAAGAGGAAGGGGCAAAGTCTCACTGTTCCTTTAGAGGGCAAGCCCCCAATGACTGAAAGATCTCCCGGTAACATTAACTCTTAAAGGTTCCACCACGTCCCAGGAGCACCATGTCGAGGGGAACATTTCAGATTCAAAATATGGTAGCATATATAGACACACATGGCACCCACACATACACATCCAGGCATTTGATTTTCAATCCATTAGTTTTTCACATAATTTCTGCTTTGAAAAACATTTCAGGATTGATTAACTAATATTTTCCCTCGAGGATATGCTACGTCTTTGGGGGTTTCAATGATTATTTATTTTCTTTTTGCTCAAAGAACATAGGGCTTGAGCCTCCCACAGAAAAATCAAAACAAAGCAAGATTGCCTATGTTCATTGATGGTTTATAAAAGGGAAAAGGAATTAGAAAAATCCATGAAACCTGTTGCCAAGTTTTTAAGATGGTTCAGAAGAGTGACTGGGACTTAGCTTTTGGCTTTTTGAAGCTCAGCCTTTGGCTGTCTTCCAATACATATCCAATCTCAGCTTTTGCTGAGGAATAGTGCTGTGGATGACATTGCCATCCTTTCCTTCAGGGGAAAAAAAAAAAAAAAACTTCCATAAGACCTAAAAATACTCCTGTGCCTTGGAGTGCAGCCTTGTTTTCATCAGCTCCGCTCCACTGGACCAGTAGCCCGACTCGAGACAAGCCAAAGCCACAAAGAAAAAGAAGCAGTTTTGAGAAAGATGATCCATATGTGAGT